GCTGCACAGAAGGTTCACGTTTCCTGTGATATTTTCTAGAAAGGTCACAACTGTAACTTAACATTATGGGTGGTGTGAATGTGATAAATGAGTCAAAATGAGAGTTTCTTTCGATATGATAAATTACCGTTGCACTTTCTGCCTTGGTATTGTGTTACTGAATCTTTCATGCACAGTATACGGATCTAAATCTGAGAGGAAAGGGGAGGAAGAGAGCTTTAAAGGTGCAAGACGATTTTCTATCTTTGGCTGATAAATCTCAACCCAAGTAAAATAAAAAAATTTAACACCTAGGTGTTAAAGCCCTTTAACTCTCAGTCTTTCTGCTTTGAGAATGCGTGTGCGGGTATCCGAGACACCGCTTCCTGCTGGGTGCTGATGACACCATCGCAGCGGTGTCGCTGTCCAGTCAGGGGTCGGTATGAGCCTCTGAGGCCTGACAGCAGGATGATGTCATGTGGTGTACAGCACAGGGATTACAGCCCCTAATCTGGCATGAAAACCCAACTCGAGAAAAAAAAGAAAAAAAAAAACGAGATCATGATCATGGAATAGCAAATGGTGGATGTAGGAAACAAGATGAAAGAAGAGGAGATTGGTTTTGGACCGCACGGCATTTCTTCTTCAGCCGTATGGAGGATTGTAAAAATCTGACGTGGGAGACTGAAGCAATGGTTGTCAAGTGAGTGTTTATACACTGTGTGTGTGTGTGCGTGTGTGTGTGTGTGTGCGTGTGTGTGTGTGTGTGAGAGAGAGGTGGGGGGTAGGTTTGCAGGTCCATATTCATGCTGTATTGTACAATCTTAAGAGCGTTTCTGTTCATGTCAGTGTTCGCACAAACACCGAGTGTGTATCATCACCACAGAATAAGCAAAGGATGTGGTTATGGATTGTTCTGGTGAAAGTTTCTATTTGCAGGGGTGTGTTTATCCTCAGTGACCGTAAGAGAATGCGCAAGGCTTCCACATGTGGCCACAGAGAGACCAAAACACTGACATGGACAGTCAACTTTGTATAATCCGCCTTTAGTTTTACATTTTTCCTCAAGACCAAACACCGGGCTGGTTTGTTTGTGTGTATATTTACATAATGTATATAGTGTATCTGGATACGAATCCTCAAAGTCCATTCATCCATCCATCCAATAGCAGTACCACTCATCCTTTGAGGGTGTGTGTGTGCGTGTGTGTGTGTGTGTGTGTGTGTGGGGGGGGGGGGGGGGGGGACACAGAGAGACTAATAACCATTCATGCTAACATCTACCACTATGTGTAAGGTAATTCAGAAGAAGAGCATCTCTTCACATGCTACTTGTTTAGCCTTGACTCAGAGTTTAAAGCTGCTGTGCGATGTGCTATGTGGTATATGTGCTGGTGGGAATGTCATTAGCTTTGTAGCTATTTAGTCATAAAACAAATTATTTGTCAAACTGAAATTTTAATGCTAGAAAAAAAACCTACATTATATTATAGTTCTGTTCTGAATTTCATGTCAGTCCATCCAATAGCTGTCAAGACACAGCGTGTCACTTCAAACCACATTTGTCAGACGCATGTTGGAGCTAAAGGACGAGACAAAGGATGACCGAAGTTAAATAGGATTCATCCTCCTGGCACCATGAACATCTGTACCAAATTTAAAAGCAATCCATCAAACAGTTGTAGAGAACTGAGACATTTCAGGACAAACATTTCATCCACATGGTGACACGAAAGTAAAAGTCGGGATTATCAAAGGTAGAAGGCTTCGTCCTCTGGGGGACATGAATGTCTGTGCAAACTTTCATGTGCTAGTCCTGCCTGTCCTCCCGCTGCAGTTTTTGATACCACCACTTGGGGGTGCAATAGTGGGACTTTTTTTAGTTAGGTTAACTTTTAACTTGTTACCTTTATAACTAATCTCTCACACAAACTGATGAAAGCCAGGAAGCTAAAAAGATTTTGTCTATGATGAGACTAAAACTGTCCAGTATGAAACTTTTACGCTCTGACATTAAAGAATCATGCCACGATGCGTTGCAGAACTACGATCATACACACCCCCATTAACCTCAGTAGATCAGTATATAACATTTGTTTGATGTGTTTGCAAACTGCATGAAAAAACACATGATGACACATGATGACACATGATGCTCTTGCTGTTCTACTACACCTACACCTATTTGTAGATGAGTAATCACACTCTTTAATTGTCCAAGCGCCTTCCTTTTGAATGAGATCCACAAGTTCACACCTGTTCTTTGGGGCATTGCCTCCTGGGAAATGTAGGAGATTTCACTATCTAAATAGAGAAGCCAGTTTGTGTGGAGACACCTGAGCTGATTGTGTTTGACAAGTGAGAGTAACCAAAAGGGGATTTTCCGCTCAAGGACGTAGTGCAACTGTGAGTGTGTTTGTGTCTGTTTTGACTGTTTGGTTTGGAAGCACACGCCGTACTGTCCATGTCGATGTGTATGAAGAAGTCCTCCAGCTGCCAGTGTTGAATATCTTTGAGCTCGTTAGACTTGACTTTGGCCATGAAGTCTGAACATGGGCTCCAGGTCTACGTACCATGGAACAGATTATTGTTAAGCTAATGACTTTATGGCAAGAGAGGGGAGCCTGTAATTTTATTCACAGCCATGAATCACAGAATGATTCACAGCTGAGATCTACGGGAGCTCCTCCTCGGTGGTCGCTCATTACACCTCACCAGAACCGCATGCAGATGTCTTATTATCCAGTAATAGTCCCCTCACTCCCGCTCATTGACTTCCCCTTGGCCCACAGAACATATAAAACACAACCAGACAGGAGAAATACTAATGTTTTCTCAAACTGAGGCTGCAGCACGGAGACATTTCTTTCACATTAAATGTCATTTCAGTGAGGTGAATGGAGACATTTGGAAAAGCCCACTTGTGTTGACAGATGATAGAGAGAAGCAGACATGCCAGCTACTGCAAACTATCAATCATGGCCTTTAGTCAGCTCAGCCGCAGGCCTTTACCAGAGGTTGATGAATATTCCTTTTGCCTGGACCATGATCCCACATAAGCTGCAAATTTGCCTCTGTGTCTAAAATCATCTAAAATGATGACTGTGTAAAAAGACGCAGGACATGACACCTCCCCAAAAGGGGAAGCCGAAACATCTGGATCGCCTCCTGTTTGCCGGCTGCAGTACAGGTCATCGACCTCGTCCCCTTCATGTTATCAGATGGCACATGGGCCAAACAAAAAATCAAAATACACATAAAAATACATTTTTCCCAAAGATGGTTTTTGTCAGTTTAGGTAGTTTCGTGTTTGGATATGTTTGATTTTAATTTGTTATTTCATGCTATAAAAAGGTGAAGTGTGACGTCGTGATTGACCTTTATACTGTGGCTCCACCCTCGATCTACTGTGTAGATTCTTTTTTTTATTTTGACGGCCACAGTGAAAGAGAGGCAGGGAAGTCAGGGGACGACATGCAGCAAAGGGCCACAGGTCAGATTCTGACCCAGTCCGCTGCGGTGAGGTAAATCCTTTATGGTACGCGCTCTACCAGGTGAACCGGCAAGGTGCAAGATAGCAGCGCCCGTGTGCAGGATATATTGCCCCTCATGCTTGTTCATATACAAAAAATGGTTTAATCTACAGTTATATAGTCAATGACCCGTGAATTTTAAGTGGTAAACGTTCCTCCATTGTCACTATAAGCTGCATTTTGTTTGCATTATGAACGGAGACGACAGTCGGTTGAATTTCATGTCATCTTATCTTCTTCTTCCTCTTGTTCCTCTTCTTGTTGCTATGTGGCACCAGTGACGGATAGTTCACTGATTTTAAAATAGAAAATGGAAATATGTTGTGTTTATTCCCAAACAACTTCCAGTGAAATAGTTTCACCAGGAAAACCCCTTTCACTCTCCAAATGTCTCCCTTTACCCATAAACCCATTAACCAGCAAACAACAGGATGAGTGGAGGCTGCGGCTTTCTGCTCCGTGGCTTTCCCTCAGTTTGTGTGGCAGTCGTTCGATCTGTCGGACTCTATATGTTAATAGGCGGCCTGCTGCACTCAGACCACATCCCTGAATGAAAAGTCTGCTTAAAGAGGATGGGACCACACTCAACAGCGGGGAATAGCATCCCTTTGTGTCCTCTGTGTCTCTCTTCAAGCCAGTGTCTGCCTGAGTATAGCAGGAAAAGCCTTGCCTTTGAGGATCCTAGCGCCATCTTGTGGCGTTGAGGCACAGCTGCGCTTACACTGACCCTCCAAAACACCACCCCATTATCTGCTCAACAGAGGCTCCAGTGGCGCAATCGGTCAGCGCGCGGTACTTATAAGACAGTAACCTGCAGAGTGATGCCGAGGTTGTGAGTTCGAGCCTCACCTGGAGCAGTGAAGTTTTAACCGGGACTGTGAATCGCAGAAAGGACTTTGATGTAGGAAATAGTTCATCAGTGAGATTAATCAGATAATCAGAGCAAACACGGTCTCTAATTGTTGAGGGAAGGAGTTAACACACATTGATTTCATCTTGGTTTATATGAAATTACTGTTTTCATTTTGCTACATTTCTTATAGACTTATTCAAATAAAAACTTGTTCGTGTAGATGCAGCGTCTGCATGTGTTTATTGAACAAATAACAAGCATATTTTTTATTGAACCACTGTCAATTTGGCTCAATCCAAATCAAATTTACCCATTATCACTGCTTATCTAAAAAAAACCTGGACTTTAGCAGTGAAAATAATAAGGCATGTGTTTGCACCCTCTCTCTCTGTGTCGACCCCAGCACCATGGGGAGGCATGGATTAGTGTTGATTATTATTTATGCACATTCTGTCTGTAATTACTCAGCAAAGCTGCTAAGTTTTGGATTTTAGCTTTTTGCCCTCATGTGTATCATGTATTTTGACTGTGTGAATTGTCCTACAAACCCATTTCTCTGTGTGTGTCTGTGTGTGTGTGTGTGTGTGTGTGTGTGTGTGTGTGTGTGTGTGTGTGTGTGTGTGTGTGTTGTCCAGCTGGCAGGAGTAGGGAGAGGCAGCGAGCATGGATGAACCGGGCAGCAGGAACAGCAGTCTGCAGAGGAAGAAGCCACCATGGCTCAAACTGGACATCCCCACCATCCAGCTGACGCCGGACGACTCGCCCACACACACCCAGGTAAAAACACAGCAGTGACACTCAAGTCAGAACTGCGAAACTAGTCATAGGAGTTGTTTAGATCTTAAACCACTTATTTCACATTTGTGCAGCCAGGCACTGAGTGTGTCTGCACCATCATCATCACCATCATCATCATCATATTCATCTGTTGTGTGTGTTGCAGCCAGTAAAGCGCCTGCGCAGCGTCAGCATGCCAGGGGAAAACCCTCAGACCTGCATCGCTGCCATGGAAACTTCAAACAACTACCTCAGACCTCCTCTGGAGAGACTGCCCTCCATCACACAGTCTATCAAGAGGTTAGACCCACACACACACACTAACACGCACTAACACACTAACACACACAGATTCTTAAGAGGTTCTCTTCTTTCCTCTGCTGAATTTATCCAGCTGCTAGTTTCCTGTGAGTTCTGCATGTCTTATAATCTCAGTAATTCTCTGCATTAGCTCTTTAACAAAACTAACTTGAGCTGTGGTCTCCTTTCTGATTTAACACAAATTAATCTTGCTGTCTTCTCTTCTCTCTTCTTCTTCTCTTTTCCCCCTTTTGCTTCTTTTTTTTTTTATATCTGTGTTTCCCCACTGCCTCCCCGCCCCCCCCTTCCTGCTGTGGTGTTTGTGAAGTGAGAAAAGGGTGCGCTTTGAGCGCGTCAACACAGTTCCCCCAAAGGGCCAGAGGAGCCCCAGGAGGGTGTCGACTGTTCGGAGGCGGTCCTGCATCCCCAAAATACTGACGCGACGACGCTCATCTATACCCAAACAGATCATCAGGTACAGGAGAGGGTGGAGGACGGAGGGAGGGAGGTGATGACAGCTGTTCGAAGGTGTCTGCTTCTGTTTGAAACAGCATGTTGTTGTTGAATATACTGCACAGAAAGAAATATCATGCTGATTGTTAGACAGTGATTTAGGGACTAAGAGTATAAGATGGCCACGCTTTCCCAGCTCACTCTACACCACTCCTCCAGCACCAAAGGTCCAAAGCTAGTTAGAGACCGGCTGATGAACATAGTGATTCATTTAGTGGTTAAATAGCCACATATTTCCCGCAGGAGTTGGTGGAGACACAACTCAACTCAAATGTATGCTAATGTTGCTCTATAACTAGCTACATATGTAAACAAGCAACTCCTCTCTATAAAGTTCGCCACATTAACTTAAAAGGTGACTCATCGCTGTTGTGTGTGGAGCTTAATCTGTCAGTGCAGGTCTAAAGTAAAGAATGTGCTGTCGTATATTTTCAGAACAGATAAAATAGCAGTTTGTTGGAGAGAATAGATGCAGTGGCTTCTTTGTTGACTCTAAAGACGAGACCTTTCTTCAACGCAACCAGCGGCAACAAAAACAGAGAAATGAACTATGTACTGATGCACAAGGCAGGTTGAGGAATCTATTATCTGAGGTGTACCACACATGAAGGACTGATGATGAATGACCCATTGGACCGTGATTTTTCTCCCCTTGATGTTGGTATTGACTCAGTTTTTTTGCACACCAGAACACACACTGTTGCATTTGCCTTTGTGCCGTGATGCTTTGAGGAATGCACAGTAAGTGGTGTAATCTGTGTCAGTCAGTCAGGTGACACACAGCGCCACATGGTTTTAGGCAGACAAAATAATACAATTACTCATACAGATGCGATGTTTGCCTCACAGAGCATGAGGGCCACATCAAAGCGGGGGGCCTCTCCCACGGCGCTAAATTGAATGTAAATGTTTGAACGCGGAGCCGAGACTAAAACCTAGAGACTCTTGTCGTCTTAACTTTATCACGCCGAGGTTTACTGGCCAGGTCTGTGTGAGCGAGAGAGATAGAGAGTTAATTCGTTTGATGTTTGCAAGAGAATTAATGGGATTGAGGGGAAGTTTGTGCATGTGTACATGAGTTGTTGGGGGTTAGCAGAGGTACTTGAAGGAGGTTATAAATACAGGATAAATCTTTTACTATTCAAACAAAGTGTTTGTCTGTGTGTGATTTGCTACCCTACTGGCTTGTAGGGTAACTGGGAGGGCGCCCTGGGGTTTGTCGATCTGGAGGACAACAGGAAGGCTTTGCATGAGTCATTTTTCATGTCAAGGCGCCATTCATCTTGAAATTCTTTTAACTGCTGACACGAAGGTCTTCGCTGCAAAGCAAGGTGCGGTTCACACTACGGGCTATGATTTGAACAAGCTAGACCTTCGTGGTACTCCTACTCCATTGTGTGTGTGTGTGTGTGTGTGTGTGTGTGTGTGTGTGTGTGTGTGTCATGTTCAGGCATGTCCCAGTGCCCTTCCTCCATCTCTCCTCCCTCCTCATGTGTATGATGTTCTATCTTTCTTCTCTCCCTCCTTCTAATCTCCCATTTCCTGTGGAGTGCTGGTATGTTAGAGGGAGAACTGGTGTTTACACACACTCCTGCAAAACAAGGCAGAAAGAGAGAGAGAGAAGGACCTCATTGATGGTGACCGTTGGGGCTCTGGATGGGGGAGAATATTCAGTTTGACAAGGACCAGAGCCGCTGTCTTCTTTGCCCAGTAGGTCACATCCTTTTATGCAACCTCTTGAGGATGGATACTGGGAGGCCTGCCAGACGCTGACACATTCACACACTCTCTCACACAAACAAAGTCATATGGAAACTTCAGTTGTGCGCTCAGGACACAAGGTCAGAAGATTTGAGGTCCTCCCACTCATCGCGCCCTGAATGAGTCGGTCCAGCCGGTGGAAATCCCTCTGTGGATCTCTTTACATCAGGACATTCACCGTCTGACCCGAAGATACCGATGCCAGCATTTCTCTAACCGTTGATTAACCGGCCGCTCACTGAGCAGGACAGGGATCTTACACAGGGTCTGCACATGTGGCGATCATCCTCTCCTTGCGTAACAGCGACCGTTACAAGGTGCCGCTGGCCTGGATTTCAGGAAATCCCCTCATGGAACATCGTATGTGTGATCTGCGGAGGATCAGTTTGCGTTCAGCAGATCAGGGTTTAATACGGGTCAGGGGCTAACCGGGGACAGTATGTTAGTGATGCTGGTAATGGAGGCGACACAGCTCCACAGTCCCAGCCCCACTCAGGTATGACCCAGACCCTGAACCACACCTGGAGCTCTCTGGACAGGTGAGTGTGCCGTGATTCTGCTCAACCAGAGCAGAACATACGGATCAAAAAACGTTGATTTGAGTCAACATGTGACACGTTGGCCAGTGAATGGAAATACTGCACAAAGCACTTGTTGAAGTGCTGTATTCCTCGTGCAAGGATTAAGATTTTCCTAAACTAAAATATCGAATTTAGCTGAGATTAAAAGACAATATGTTACATAGTTTTTAGTCTTTATGTTTTTGGTTTTACTGAACCTTTCATGATTGACAACATCCACATGTATACGTGTAATACTGCTGAGCGCTCTCTTTTAGCAGTGGTGGAAATATGGGAAATGTGTTCATTCAATTTCTTGCAGAGTTAAATGTGAAGATTGACACCACTCTAATATCTTTATGTCACATATGAAACTACAGCCAAGAGATGGTGAGCGTCGATTACTTTCCTTTTTCTGACAGACTAAGAAAGCAAGATATAACATGTTAATTACTGAGCTTTAAAGGTGCCACTTGGTGAGTTTTGTTGCCGTCAGTAGAGTCAGGATAGCTGTGTCCCCCTGTACTAGCTGCTGGCTAGAAAATGTATTTCCCAAAATGAACTATTATTTTAAGTAAAAGCAGAAATGCCACAATTTAAAAATACTTTCAAAGTAAAAGTCCAGCCTTTAAAATTTACCCAGGTAAAGGCGGATATTAGTGTTAGCAGCAAAATGTACTTAAAGTACCAAAATAAGTTCTTATGCAGCAGAACGGCCCCATCCGTGTTATAATGTACATTATATTATACATTAGATTTTTCTTATTGATGCTTTAACATGTAAACAGCATTTTAAGGTTGAAGCTGATCAAGTTGTGTTTTTTTTAAAAAGGTCATACAAGATTAGAGTAGAAGTATAAAGTAGGGGGAAAAAAATGGAAATTTGAAGTACATCGTATTTGTACTTTTGTATATATTTTTGCAGTTGTGAAGGAATAATAAAACCTGCTCATTTGTTGATTTATCCATTCAGTAAACTCAATACCTATTATCCATGATAAACTGGAAAAAAAACATCTGTCCAGTGTAATAACTCTCGTAAGAGTTGAAACTGTACAATGACAGTCAGAAAAAAATGTAAAAAAAATATATATATCCGGGGAACTCTGATTGTAGATGTGAAACTAAAAATCCTTTATTAGTACATGGATATAGACATAGTCTGTAAAGACAAGAAATAAGAAGAAATAAAACAAAGAAACAACAAGAAATAAACATTTCAATTAATGTCTTGTTGTTTCTATTGTCAGAACTTGTTTGTTTTGAAGTGGTTTAATCCACACATCATGTGACTTGAGCCTTTAAATGCACACCTGTTTTTCATTGCACTCCTGCCCTGATGAAGACTCCGAGAGTTTCCATATACTAATAAAGGATTTTTAGTTTCACATCTACGATCGGATAATTTTTTCTGACTGCCATTATACAGTTGCAACTTGTTTTTCTAGTTTACCTGACCACCGGCCTCATCCTGGTAGCGCACCTGGTTTCACAGTTTTCTTTTTTACATTCTCCACAACACCTTTTTGACCCAGTGCAGCGCTCTGCCTGTTTTTCTTCATTACCTATCATCCATGCTCATATTTTTATCTTTTCTATTTGCAGCGATCTGTGTTTGTTCAGTGGTAGCATTTGTTACTGATATTTGCCCCTTGGTCTTTTCTCACAGATGAAATGAAGGCTGTCTAAGCCTGTAATTACAGTACGGTTGATTGCTGCTATGTGTGTGCACCAGCCTTACCTGGAAGAGAGATCTGGAAGCTAATAATTCATGTGGTTTAACAACGCTTTAATCTTTGATGTGGAATGGATTTGTGCTGTCGTCAAGCAGTGGTGAATGTTTTATTGAGGTTCGTGTGGGCGAATGTGACACATGCTTGTTGGTGCACGCAGACAAATAGCTGCTTATCTAAACAAACACAAACAAACGTCATCCAGCCTGAAATGTGGCCGCATCATGTTTTACCATCAGTTCAATCTTGAATTGTATTTTTCTTTTTTTTCTCCATCGTTTTCATTTCATGTTACGACCTCCCCTCCTCCTCCTCCTCCTCCTCCTCCTCTGGTTCTCACTGTCTCCCTCCTCCTTTCTGTTTGCATCTCCCCCTCTCCTTGTTAAAGAGGCCCACTTTGACCCCCATGTGTCTCTGCTTTCCCAAACCTGTGTCTTCTTCCTAAGACATTCCTCTCTTGAAGGACAACAATCAGGTCCACGCCGCCCCTCGCCTGCCCCTGCGCAGCCTTAAAAGGCTTCCCCAGCTGGCGTCTGTCTTGATGACGAGGGCTGAGTGTTTATTACTGAGTCTTCTGCTCTCCAAACAGTTTCCCCAGCGTGGCCTCCCCCCTCCTGATCGGTTAACACAGCCTGGCACGCAGGCACTGTTAATGGAAAGAGAAAAAAAAAAGTACCTGGATGCGCACAGTGAATTCATATTTATTGAGTTTAAATTCAAAACACAGACCGACAGTCATGTCAGGTCGTCCATCTGCTTCTTCACTGCTGACCGAACACAGAGCAGTAGATCGCGTTTCGACACAAGACAGTATTCTTCATCCATCCTCTCTTAGCTGGGCCGACGGCGTGCACACAATCAAACATGCACCGTGCACGTATACGCAGAGAGAGATAAGGAGAGATGAGAGAAGGAAATGCTGGAAGGGAGCTGAATTCATGAGGGTTTCTTTGTCTCAAATGTTTTTGTCAATCAGCTGGATTGCAGCTGTAGATGGACCCGCATCCCATTCTGATTCTTCATTATCACTTATCTTCATCTGGAAAGCAGATCTGTGCTATTGAAGTAAATCTGAGTTGGTAAATTTACTTTGTATTGTAGCCAAAGGTTGTTTTTATTGGGGGGTTTTTTTTGTTGTTTCAGTTCACCCTACATGCCCTCTTTCTTTTTAACACACGAAACTCACGCTCAAACTGGTCAAAGTTTTTGTCTTAATTATATTAAACTATTTATTTTGGCTTTCTATTCCGTAGAAAATGATTTCCATATTTAAAGACTGCGAAACCAGATGTCTGTGTTTTTAGATGTATGGTGCTCTTCAACAGAACACACAAGAAAGCAATCAGCAAATGACCCAATTTATGAGTCAACTACCCCCCAACGAACAGCTGCAGTCAATCAGCTAATCAGCATATTGTCCCGCTAATTAGGAGGGATGTACATTTCAATCCATTAAAGAATAATCAGCTTCAGAAGGCTAAAGCAAATTATGGACAAAAATAAAAAATAATATGAAATAGACAATAAGTATATGTTATTTTATTTTATTTGTTAGTTGCCTCATGACTTTCTGAATTAGCTACATGCTTGATAACGAGATATAACTGGATGAGGAAGCGTTGTTGCAGTAAAATGGTAAAACAGCTCATGTATATACTGAAAAACATACATATACTTTATATTCTTTAATAGCTAGAGAATAAATTGTACAATAGATCATTTTTTTAGCGCTAATTAGCTAAGTTAGCAAGCTAGCATGCTAAACTAAGATGGTAAACATTATACCTGCTCAGCAGCAGCATGTTAGCATTGCCTTCGTGATTATGTTAGCATACTGACGTTAGCATTTATGCTACTACTACAATAGCTACTTTTATTGTGTTATGTGTGTGTTATGTTTGCACCAGTTTGTTACCAAGTGAAACCAGTGTGTAGCTTTTATAAAATGATCTGAGTTTCTGTTGTTGGTTTTAGTGTTAATACTGGATTGATTGTGATTTAACTGATTTAGCTCCATTTGCAGCTATTCTGTCAACAGTTTGTTGTCACGTCTGAGCCAGTAGCATGTCTTGTGCACAGATTAAATATGATCATTTCAATTACAAATGTACCTGTGGATTGATTTCTGCCACATAACATTTAATTTCTCATGCCCTAAATCCGACTAACATATCAGAATATTCAGATTTTAAGTTTTACTAACCACAGTCCATTGTCTTTGCAGAGGTACGGCCGACTGGTTCGGGGTGAGCAAGGACAGCGACAGCACCCAGCGATGGAGGAGGAAGAGCCTGCAGCACTGCAGCCATCTGTATGGGGGTCTGAAGGCTCAGGTGATGAGGGAAATGGAGCTCCACAGCCAGGACAACCTTTCCCTGGCCAGCACTGAGACCCCTCCTCCCCTCTACCTCCCACCCCACCACCCCAGTCACCACCATTATGGCATGCAGAGGGTAGGCTAGCGCCTGGGGCACATTGCACGGATCTAGGAACGAACGGGACAGTTATTCACCTCACCTTTTCCTGTTTCACTTCTTTCATTTAATTTCTTCCACTCGTTCACTCCCTTTCCTCATTACACATTACATTTACGGTGCTTGCTTTACCTCTTAGCTCAGTCATCTTGCCTAGGGTTCGATTGATGGGTTTTTGACGACTAATACTAGGAACCAATGTCTTTGCTCATTATTATAAGCGCATTTAATAAGCGTTTCAGTGTTAGCCTAATGATTGTTGCATGAAGCAGCTCTGGTTATGATGCAAATTCATAACAGACAAATCTTTTACTGCTATTGTGAACAATTTAATCAGTAAACAATAATGTTGATTACTAGATATTTAATTATTAATTAAGAAAAAGCTGCTTTCCGCTGGATACATCAGTCTAACCCTAGTACAGATGTGTGTTATGTGCATCCCTTCTCTTCACTATTCTTTCGCTGTGTGTTTACTGTTGTATGTGGCTTGTCCAAGTATGAAAAGTACTGTGTGTGTGTATGTGCGTGTGTGTGTGTGTGTGCGTGTGCGTGCGCGCAGATCGTAGACCCACTGGCCCGGGGTCGTGCCTTCCGCATGGTGGAAGATGTAGACGGCTTCAGTGTCCCGCAAACTCCCATCACACCCGGCACCGCCTCCCTCTGCTCCTTTTCAAGCTCCCGCTCCGCCCTCAACCGGTTGCCGCGACGACGCAAGCGGGAGTCTGTTGCTGTCATGAGTCTCAAGGCAGCAGCCGCACTTATGAAGGTGTTTTTTTGTTTGTTTGTTTGTTTGTTTATAAATGAGAATTAATCTTAAAAACTTCTCAATCACCAAATACTCTTTTTGCTTTGCAAAGCCTGTGCTTCAAGCTCCAAGCTCCAAGCTGCCGCCAACACCAGTTTTCCCCGAAATTGAAATGACCAGTTTTTCTGCACAATGTAGATGCACATTAGGATCAGCTATAACTTACATTATGGGCTATAACTGACTGTGATCTTTTTCTCTGAAAAGGAGATTGAGCTAAAGATAGACAAACAAATGCTTTACAGTTAATCTTTCCGCCTGTGATTTACACATTTAAAAACACTGAGTTTCCATACACGTGCACACACTTTAATATCCATTATTTTATGATTCTGTGAAGAGATTCTTTGACAAACTCCATCCGTTATATGCTGATGTGTCTCTGTCTCCTACACACATGAATGGATGGGATTAATTTCTGAGTGTTTTCTGCGTATTTGCATTTCTGTCCGTGTGTTCATGTGTGTGCGTCGGCATGTCATGTAAAACATGAGATCAGCTGTCGTGTTGTGGATTAAACTCTTACATATATGTTACAGTAGTAGTATCCACTAGTGTATGCTGAGCAGAGGGCGGGGATTCACTAGCAGATGGTCCGTGATAATACACAGCGAATGCTCAGATATCTGCTGGGTTGTGGTCAGAATATTAAGCAGAGCGGTAATCCAGTGACACACAGAGGTTGGTGTATTTAGAGAGTGACACGCACTGCTGGGGATTCCTCCAGATAAACGCTCAGGCTCAGCAGAGTCTGATAATAATGTCGGACATGGTCTCATTTGCTAACAGTAGTAAAAACCCTGAGTAAGTATCTGTCACAGTGATATACTTGTGTGAAAATGCTTCATATTTCACCTTTTTGTGTATATTTTTTTCAATAATGTTCCATTATTGGCATCATTTATCAGAGAAAGTATCATGGTAGCTCAGTGTGACACCGGTACATGATGATGTTTGTGTTTTTTCTGTGCGTTAGGGCCGGACGTTGGGTGATAGCACCGCAGGGCGACATCGTAGACGGAGTTTCATGCCTCCTAGTTTCTTCGAAGACGACACTGTAGACTTTCCTGATGATCTGGACACTTCCTTCTTCACCAGAGTGAGCAGTGGACACACTTCCACACACCGCCAGTCTAACCTTTCATTTATTTTCACCTGAATTAACAAGATTAAAATTACAGAAGATTGTGTCTCCACTAGTTTTTTGTGGTTGTTACTGACAAAAAACTTTTCTAAGACGTCAGGTATAAAATATTGTAAAACCAGTGCTATTAACAAATGAATTATACATTTATTGAGTTGAATTTTAATGACATCACAGCTTGATTGAATAATGTTTTTACACTAGAGTTATTAAGCTATTTTCTTGTTCTCTGGGCAAAGCAAAGTAAAAATTCAAAGCACGTTATTGTGGTCTGAGCGTATTTATTATATATTTACTATATTGAATTCCTACTCACTTAGTTACTCGTCTTTGTAGGAGGGCCTGCACGATGAGCTGTCCACCTATGCCGATGATGTTTTTGAGACACCGTCGGAGGCGGCCCTCAAACAGCTGGATGAGAGCGAGCTCACAGGAAGTGCGCTGGATAGGAATGAACTGGAGAGGAGTCACCTCATGTTGTGGGTTTATATTTTTACAGAATTTTTTCATAGGCACATAAACCTCTCACCTCTCACGCAGCTTTTGCAGCACTGAAGACACTGTCTTATGATACTACGTACTGACTAAATTCTCCATCTTACGTATCAGTTTGCGATTCTTTCCTCTTCCTAAATCAAGGCCTTTAGAGCGAGGATGGCGGAAGACAAAAGATGGCTGTCTGGTGCAACCTAAAGTTCGTCTGAAACAGGAGGTGGTGAGTGTCAACAACCATCAGCAGCGGGGACAAAGGATCGTGGTTCCCGTTAAGAAGCTGTTTGCCCGAGAGAAGAGGCCGTATGGGCTCGGCATGGTCGGCCGTCTCACAAACCGGACGTACCGCAAGCGCATTGACAGCTTTGTCAAGAGGCAGATTGAGGACATGGATGATCACAGGTAAAGTAGATGAGTCTGTTTTTTTCCTTCCTGTCCTCTGATGTGAAATTAAATATAGTTTTTCATCAATATTCCAGCAAACGGAGCCTGAAATAGTTTTCCTCTCTCTCCTTCAGGCCTTTCTTTACCTACTGGATCACATTTGTCCATTTGCTCATCACTATTCTGGCTGTGGCTATCTACGGCATCGCCCCTGTGGGCTTCACACAACACGAAACTGTCGATTCTGTAAGTAAAAGTTCACAATGTTTGTAATCTTCAGATTGGTTCTGTTTGTGAATCTGTGTTGAATTTGCTCTGAAAATGGATGACTGAGTGATACAAGTACCTTCTGTAGGTGCTGAGGAACAAAGGAGTTTATGAAAATGTTAAGTTTGTGCAACAACAAAACTTCTGGGTGGGTCCGAGCTCGGTAAGTATTTTCTTTTTTACCATCTTTACTATTTACAATCTTCTCCCGATCATTGTGCTTTACTCAGCACTTTAGTAAATGGTTGAAAATATTAACTAAAATCAATCAATTAAAAAGATAAACTGATGGTAATGATGGAAATAGCAGAAATTAATTACAAATAGAATAAGGATAAACAGTTGAAGTAGTCGCTTCTTCCGCTCCGAGCAGACCCGGACGTTGACTATTCAATTGTGCACAGAAAGATATCGTAACAATGTCGGTTTCTAACATGATGAGTGTTGGTGTTGATGAAAGGTCACTTGAGTTCATTTAATCTCACATAGCCAGGCCCGTCTCCGTGACCTCACCGAGCTGTAATGTCACTATCCTGCAGGAGGCACTGATCCACCTGGGAGCCAAGTTTTCCCCCTGCATGCGACAAGACGAAGAGATCCAGAAACTGATCCAGGAGAAGAGAGCGAGAGAGAGAGAGTCCGGCTGCTGCGTGAGGAACGATCGCTCCGGCTGCCTGCAGACTTTACAAGAGGAGTGTTCGGTTGGTGAAACCAGAGTCTTTACAGTCAAACTTTTACCTGGCCTTTTTCAGCCATGTCTGTCTTAAAGGTGTCACTGGAGGAACTTATACACAGAAGGCATATTTGACAGTACAGTAGCAAGTTAAACGCCACTTAGAGCATTTTTAAACAGTTCTTGTTGCAGTATTTTTGTTCAAGTAGCCACTAGATGATGATTGAGCTACTTCTGTTTGTCTTGTACTGCAGAGCACCCTGGCAGTGTGGGTGAAGTGGCCTCAGCACCCCAGTGCTCCCCATCTGAACGGTGAACTACGCCAGCATGGTTCAGTCTGCCATCAGGACCCCAGGTAACATTTAAAAAAAAAAATGCTGTCTGTATGATTATCATCCTGATGTTTTAGAACCGCACTGTGACATCGTTTTGAACTTGATTGTGATTTGTAGAATTTGCCTGGAGCCGGCCTCGGTTTCACCTCACGAGTGGCCTGATGACATCACCAAGTGGCCAGTGAGTATAATTACATTCGCTCATGTCTGAAGACCATAAATGTGTATCGACATAATCCGAATTTTCACACTGCAGTAGGGAGTGAAGGGGGAGCCTATAAAAGTTGACCACAAAGGAGACTGCCCTCACCCGGATCCTTATTTTGGCATTTTTATATTTAAATTTAAACTTTCCCTGTAGGTTTGTACAAGGTACAACTCTGGGAATCACACCAACCTCCCCCACATAGACTGCACCATCACAGGCCGGCCCTGCTGCATTGGAACCAAAGGACGGTGAGCATCAGTGTCACCGGGCACCGCAGGAGTCGCGGTGTTGCACATGTACCAATATTAACTACCTTCATTTTTGAGCACTTTCATGCTTATTGTGTTTTCGCCACTTTCTCTGATGTCAGAACAGAGAAGCATTCGGCACAGAGTCTATACAGTCATAGATCAGTGAAACTGCACTGAAACTCTTACGGTTGAACAACTCCTTTAAGGCGACGTCGCCCAGCACTCAATTAAATGATAAAGAAAATCTTAAGTATATTAAAGTTTTTGAATAATTAATTCCTGGATTTTTCTTTTTTTCTGTGAGCTTTTGCTGATGAAGCTTATGGTGTGTGTGTGTGTGTGTGTGTGTGTGTGTGTGTGTGTGTGTGTGTGTGTGTGTGTGTGTGTCGTGTTGCAGGTGTGAAATCACCTCTAGAGAATACTGTGACTTTATGCACGGCTACTTCCATGAGGAGGCTACTCTCTGCTCACAGGTAGGACAAAGAAAGGACACAGACATTTTTACTGTATTTACAACCTTTTCTTTTCCTCGAATCCTCATGAATCTGTACAACAGTTGCTATTTTTTATTCATTCTAAAGGCTTTTTCAGCCCAGACGGTATCTGTGATGCATGCACTTGAATTTAAAACATTGCTGCACAAGCTGAGGCTTGAACTCCCGACCTGCAGGTCATTGTTGTATAAAGACTGTGCGCTGACCTATTGCACCACGAGAGCCTGTGGTTTCCTGTGACTTTGGACTGAATTCAACATGTCATGTTCCTCCACAGGGTGGCAGTGGATCTACAGTCCTGACTGTTTTTCTCCTGTCTTTCTCCACCAGGTGGCTTGTATGGATGATGTGTGTGGTTTGCTGCCTTTTCTCAATCCAGAGATCCCAGACCAGTTCTCCAGACTGTGGCTGTCACTCTTTCTTCATGCTGGGTGACTGAACTCCCCTTCTTCTTTTTGTCTATCTCAGAACAGGCCTCGGTATTTAGACATGAGAGTACAACTGTTTTACGTGCCTAAATCACAAATTGGTTAAAAGAGTAAAAAGTTATAACGTTCAAAAATAATTTTCTGGCTCTCTGTGTCTGTAGGATCCTGCACTGCCTGGTGTCAGTGTTGTTCCAGATGACGGTGCTAAGGGACATAGAGAAGCTGGCCGGCTGGCTGAGAATCTCCATCATCTACATGCTGAGCGGCATCACTGGCAACTTGGCCTCAGCCATCTTCCTGCCCTACAGAGCGGAGGTACAATGTCACCCTCAAAACAGAACTATACACATGATCCGGCATCTTCCGGAACCCCACGGTGTTCAATATTAAATAAACTATTTGTGAAATATGTAAATAAATTAATTCATGAATAAATAAATTAAATTTAATACATTTAATACTATCAAATTCATATGTCCTGCCTCACTTAAGCTTGCAAGCTGAACAAGTGCTACCAGGTAAGCTCCTGTTAGCAACCGGAGCTAACTGGCTAGCTAACACGCTGTTAGCAGAACAGCTGATCCTGAAGAAACATCTTCAGACTGTCGAAGCAGCTCTGCCTTAACCAGCCAACTTTAGCTGTTGCTGATAAACCAAGATGTGCAACCCCCACCTAGCTAGTTAGCCAGCTAGGTAAGTAGCATGTGGAGCCATGTTACGCTAAATGAATAAAAAGAGAAGTTTGTTACTGTGTTTGTTTACAACAACAACCTCTGCATAATAAGAGATAACTGGCTAAATGGGTTGCTACAAAAAAATTTAGCAAATTCTGTAAAATTTTTACTTTTTTTTGTGCATTTTCATGTTTTTCTTTTTCATTATTGGATGTACTAAAAGTCTCATTTAAATAGATATTGCAGTTTAAATGGTTGTAGCATTTAAGAGAGACATGTGCCGCACAGGGAAAAAGACTGTAGCTGTGTCCAACAGAGAGCTTCACTTCAGCCCCTGAGCTCTTAACAGTTTATGTTCCTCTCAGGACTTTATCAGGGACTAGTTTTTGTTTTGTGATGAACTGAGCTATGTAAGACATAACATCTCTGTGTCCCTGCATTCACCGTTTTCCTCTTCTTCATCCCTCTCTCTCTCAGGTGGGTCCTGCAGGCAGCCAGTTCGGTATCCTGGCCTGTCTGTTTGTGGAGCTGTTTCAGAGCTGGCAGATCCTCGAGCGACCGTGGTGGGCGTTTGCCAAGCTGCTGGCCATCTCAGTCTTCTTCTTCTCCTTTGGTTTGCTTCCATGGATTGACAACTTTGCCCACATCTGCGGATTCATATCTGGATTCTTCCTGTCCTTTGCCTTCCTGCCGTACATCAGGTAGGTGAAGAGAGGGATGCTTGTGCTTCTGAGTTTATTCCACAGAGAGACTGTATCTGTACCCTCCCTGTGAATAAATAGAGACAGAGAGATAGAGATAAATAATGCTTGGTTTCTTCTCTTTAGTTTCGGGCGTTCTGATATGTACCGTAAGCGGGTCCAGATCTGTGTCTTCCTGCTGGTCTTCCTGGGTCTGCTCTCCGCCCTGGCTGTTCTCTTCTACGTCTACCCCGTGAAGTGCGAGTGGTGTGAGTACCTCACCTGCATCCCCATCACTGACAAGTTCTGTGAGAAGTATGACCTGAACGCGCACCTCCTCTGAACGTCGGCCTTCGAAGTGTCAGCTGGACTGTCTCTGGGAGTGCACTGAAGTTGGACCGGGTTGCAACATTTCTAAAATGTTGGATGTTGAGGCAACTGAAAAAAAAAAAAAAAATGCACATTTAGCCGCAGTGCAACTTGTGACTGAGCAGGAACATTTCTCCTGGAACAACGGCTACAGCGTTTCAGGATTTTTCATGTGGACCGGTGAATTTCAAACTTGTTTGTTGTACCGTTTGGAAAGGAACAACAGACCCACTATGAATAAAGGCATGAAAGCCTCCAGGCATCTGACTAAAAATATTCACGTGCACGGGAACAAAACTTGACTGAAAAGGACTAACAATTGATTTATATGTGTGACTGATCTCTAGCTGGGCTAATCAGTGACCAGTCACACTGGAGGATTAGTTACCTCTCTTCTTACGTGACTTGACAGCATCCCCCAGTGGCCAAAGGGGAGCGTTACAACCTAACAAGGCTGCAGAGGACGAGCTGAGGCTTTTTTTTTTTTTTTTTTTACTGATGTCCAAACAGTTTTGTCCATTTACTGGATATTCTTAGAGTTAAAACTCGCCAACAAATGAGACTCTAAAATGCTTAAATGTGCCTTACAGACACACAAACACGCCCACGCACACGATGTCTTTTTAGTGCCATGTGTCAGTTTGTGTCAGCAGTTTCTGGCATTATGGGTCGTGTTCCTTAACCTTTGTAGAAACTGTATTTCACAATCTGACAAAATCATGTAAAATATGTTTTTACACAGCCTTTAATGCACTTCTTTCACAGATGGATTGTTTGTTTGTTTGTTTTTTATATTCACCCTGTGTTCCATGTAAAGAACACAGTTATACATTAATCTGCTGCATTGTGAATCGCTGTTACGGAGGTGAATTTTTGTGTTTTTCCGTTTGTTTGTTTTTTATTCATAGTGGTCGCGTTTTAGCTACCTAACAATAAACACAACGAAACACTCAGTTTGGCTCATTTTTCAGTCTGTGTTTCCTTCAGAAGATATGTCAAGACACTTAAACCACACTGGTCCAGGTGAGGCTTGAACTCACAACCTCAGCATCAATGTGCTGGTGTCTGTCCTATTTGTACCACACACTTATCTGTTGTACCACTGGAGCTTGTAAACTACTCACACCACACCAGAATATTCCAACGAAATGTACATTTTCTATAGTCACCTCAGTTAATCAGGTATTAAAGGAAACAGTACATAACTATCTTTTCTTTTTTTTACCACTCATCTCCACCTTGTGGATATATATATGTGTTATAATTTAGAAAATAATATTTTTAGCAAGATTGGGGTAGATTTGTTTGAAATGTGATGAATTAATATTGTTGCGGTGAACAACAAACTGACCCACAGATGGATCGGTCATCACAAGCGTAATTTGGGATGACTGGTTTTCTGAAATGGCTATTTATTAAAATTATTATTAAAAAAGACAACATAGCTCTGAGTATTCTAGCAGAGGAATATGACCAAATCAAGTAAAAACACCAAGGTTATGAAGATATATTTCTGATCATGAATAACAGAAACAAACTACACCGCTGACATTGATGCTAACCACCACTAACCACAGCACAAGAAGAGAGAAGTCATTAAAATCTTTCCCTAATCGTAAACCATTATTAATTTACCTTAAAGAAAAAGCTGAAGACTTGATCTATTCACAGTTAATTAAATTTAAACATGATGCTTGGAGAAAACAAGTTACTAGAGCATGTCCCAAAAATAAAATAAAAACATCAACACTTGTACTTTTATGTGAATGTTGAAAAGGACGAGGATAAGGTGGGTGTTCTGTCCCAAACTCCTCCTAAAAATAACACAGGGATAGTTGAAGACAGTGTGTCGGTGTGATTTATTTTCCAGCCTCCCAAAGTGCAAATTATGAAACTCATTGCAAAAATAAAAATACAAAAAAACAACAAAAATAAAGCACTCTATATGTTACAGGGTCACTCCATGTTACCTGCTCTGTAACCAAAAACAGACTGACTTCACTAAACCCATAGCCCCTCCCACCAGGCTTAGTATTTACAAACAAAAAAACAAAAAACAAGTATATTTATAAAGCACATTTTTCTGGCTAAATAAAGCTCTCACAGTTTATGAAATAAAAATATATTTTAACCAAGTAATTTAATAAACATTTCTACATCAGCGAAACAAGTTGTTTCTCTGCAACAAACAGGAAACTCCCCTAAGCGCGGGAAAACAAACCATTTAACGAAAGGAAAATGTTACGGCCTTGTTTTGCCGAACTCGCGGGGGAGAGGGACGGCGTGCCGCGCGCCCCAACAACAGGTAAGCAACATGTCGTTAAGCTAATGTGCGTGTGAATGTGAATGTATGCGTAACTATTAATAGGACAACCAAGTGTGCAGGAGGAATAACAGCGAAGTGTGTCGACTGCTTGAGCAGAAAGGAAAGGAGAGAGAGATGAGTGTGTGTGTGTGTGTGTGTGTGTGCGCGCGTGCGTGTGGGTGCAGCAGGTTCAAGTTAAACCCTCAGATACAGTGATCTCTAGTGACTTAAAGTCGTTTCTACAGGACCACAACAGCTGAGTATAGATTGCTGACTTTGAGTTGCGTGGCTGGTCTGTGTGAAAATGTGAACTGGCTGTGAATTCCTGATGCTTTTTGTTTTGTTTTGTTTTGTTGTCATCACTGTTAAGGTGGGTCAACCTTCAGTGTAATTACTCTTCTCTGATTTTTGGTGACATCAGCAAACTCCAACCCCAACAGCTCCACTAAAGTTCAGCATGAGAACACATCTAACTGGCCAAAGCAATTGGCCTCTTTTTCAGGGATATTTAAATCTGTTGTTTAGTGTTGTTCACTGTGGGTTGACATCAGGCTCCAGTGGCGCAATCGGTCAGCGCGCGGTACTTATAAGACAGTAACCTGCAGAGTGATGCCGAGGCTGTGAGTTCGAGCCTCACCTGGAGCAGCACAGTTTTACTGTGCTGGTTGAGGAGTAAGACAGAACTACAAAGACCAAAGGCCTTGGCTTTCACTCAGTGATTAAATTAAAGGTGTGTATGTGTGGCCTTTTCAAAGAAGAGGCGAACTTCTGTTGATGTTCACCTTCAAACTATTACAAGATGAACTTGGTGTGTGGGTCTGCAAGGTGATATTTTCAGAGGAACTGAATTTGTGACTTTTAATTTTCTTATTTCTTAAGTAAAAAGTTTTACTTTTTATTTTTTCCCAGTTAGATTTAGTGAATGCATTACTGAAGTTAGCAGCATAAATGTTAGATTTAACTTAAAACTCAACTTAAAAAAAGCAGCCACTAAAGTTTTGGTTGTGAGTGCAAAGAAACCAAGGCAGAACTGCTGTAGCATTTGTTGTGAGGTACTATGGATCGAACATGCTAATCGTGTATTACCAAAGCTTACCTTGTACACATCGCACACTCTAAAATGATAAGTTATTTCAGGGCTTTTTAAAGTGTACCCACAGCATCCTCGAGAAGTAATAAGTTTCTTCCATAATTCTTAACCAGGGTTCTGCAGAGAGTCTAATAGTGTTTTTCTTTTTCCTTCTGTCCAACCATTTCCTTCTGGCTTTCTCGCCCGCCTACAATCCCTGACAGTCCTCCTGCATTGCTGAATATGTCAGCCTGACTCTTTGTTGCTTATCATACCTGTGTAAGTCAAGATGTCTGTTGTTTTTTTTTTTTGGGAATGCCCACTAGATGGCAACCCAGGACCTTTAACTCCTGTGTTAAACCTGGTACAAGAGTAGAACATGACTGCTGCTCAGGGTACAAAGCTTGAATTACAACAACATTGTTTTATTGTTCTTTGGGATTTGAATGCCATTAATTCAAACAGAAAGGTTTATTAGTGTGCAGAACTCTTGTTGGTTCCCCCAGATGCTCCCTGTGTTGTTGTACCACTGTGTCTGTTCATTCTTGCTCGCCTCCCATTCTCTGAGTGTGCGTATACACACACACACACACACACACACACTGAAATCTGCATGCAAATACACACACAGGCACACGCGCAATTGCTCTGGCATTCGTTAATTCTTGTCTGTAATTGAGTCTAAATGAGTGTGTACTTATGTTAGAGAGGCGCTCTGAGAGGCTGAACAGCACAAACACAGACAGCACTGATCTGCATTCAAATTACAACACTAAAACTTATTCTGTTAATCTTGCATTTAGGTCATTTTGGTATCTATTAGGTATTCCCCAAAGTCCACGCTCGTCTTCAACAAGTGGTCACATATTACAATTTACTTGTAAAACTTTATTATCCTGGGTGATGAATCAAAAAGAGTCGCACTGCAAATTTTTAAAGAAATAGTTTGACATTTTGGGAAATACATTTATTCACTTTCTTACTGAGAGTTACTGTAAATGAGTGAATTGACCCCACCCTCACCTCTGACACGTACGCTGAATACGAAGCAGGTTAGCTTAGCACAAAAATGTTATGTTGTTACATTTGTGTTTATGTGCAAATTAAACAAAGGAGATGTGTTAATTAGTGAGCTTTAGAGATAATGGTAGGTGGACTTAGTGAGAGCCGGGCTAGCTGCTTCCTGTATTTGGTTGTGTTGTGATTTTTGTGCGTGTGTTTTCTTAAGTTGCAGTGCGTTGAGCTCTCAAGGCCGCCGTAGTTAAGCTAAGCTAACCAGCTGCTAGGTGTAGCTTCACATTTAGCATTCAGACAATAGCTGATATGATAAACTTGTTAGCATACACTTTCCAGCAGATATTAGCATAACAATAATAGCAACATTAGCATTTATTTGGAGTCGTGTTTCTGGTGACCTTGCAAATGTAACGTAATAACAATATAGACTCTCCTTTTGATCTTGCTCAACTCCTAAAGGGAATATCTGGCTTAGCTGCTAGCTGTGCTCACCGACTAGTTGCTAACTTTGTTGCTAATCTTCTGTCGTTCTGGGCGGGATCTTCTTTGAGTGGACCGTTTTCACACTGACATTGTTTTCACATTCTCATTTGATGCATTTTATTTTAAAAAATATTTATTATAGCAGCTTTAAGCAAGATCTAAATACCATAGATTACGTGCACAACACTATGTGAGTTAATATTCTCTGTCCCCGTTTTTTTTTTTTGTCACAATAAAAGCTGGTGGAGCAGCTAATAGTGACAAATTAATGACCCTGCCGACATAAAGATCCTGAAAAATCATCTCTGGCTGCTTGGCCTAATAGAGGCAGCACCCAAAGCCATTAGACCTCCTCCCCCCGCTCACTGCCACCCCCATCCCCTGCCGACTGCTCATAGGAAATTATCTCTCCCGTCTCCTCCCACGTCTCCCTTCTCCAATCCAGCTCCATCCCATCACGACCTCCTCCTGCTCCTGTCCATTTCATGCCTTCATGTTTCCATCACTCATTCATCATTTGGTTTTTCCAAACCCCCCACCTCCAACTCACACCTCTGCTGCACCCCCCCGACCCTCCATCACGGCTCATATAGAGATGTTAATGTGACATGAAGAGGAGGGTATCTACGAACCATTGATCAGCATCAAACGAGACACACTTAGATGCCACGCAGTCCTCCCCCTCCTCCTCAACTCATCTTTTAATGGATGGTTGGTTTTTAGGGACAAAATGAAAGTCAGGTTTCCTACGTCGATAGATAGATATAGATAGATAGATAGATAGATAGATAGATAGATAGATAGATGTAGCTGCTGTTGTGTCTGCCTAGAAAGACGACCCTGAAATGGGACCCTGACAGCTGGCCAACAGGTGGCCACTGACAGACCCTCTCTCTTCATTGTGCCTGGAACAACTAAGACACACACACACACACACACACACACACACACACACACACACACACACACACACACACACACACACACACACACACACACACACACACACTCACTCACTCACTCACTCCTCAGTCTCAGCACACATCAGGTGAAGGAGGCCAACCAAGAGGTGGAAGGGT